TAAATGGGACCTCCTGAAACTGAGAAGTTTCTGTAAAGCAAAGGTCATCAAGACATAACTGCAGCGTATAGAATGGGAAAAGATCTTTATCAATCCAATATCAAACAGAGGGCTGATCTCCAAATATACAAAAAACTCAAGAAACTTGACATCAATAGAACAAACAATCCAGTAAAAAATGGTGCACAGACCTAAACAGAGAACTCTCAAATGGCTGAAAGACACCTAAGAAAATGCCCAACACCCTTAGCCATCAGAGAAATGCAAATCAAAACAACACTGAGATTCCATCTTAAACCTGTTGGAATGATCAAGATCAAACACACTGATGACAACTTATGCTGGAGAGGGTGTGGGGTAAAGGGAACACTCCTCCATTGCTAGTGGGAGTGCAAACTTGTACAGCCACTTTGAAAATCAGTATGGCAATTTCTCAGAAAATTAGGAAACAATCTACCTCAAGATGCAGCAATACCACTCTTGGGTATATACCCAAAAGAAACTCAAATCACACCACAAGAACATGTGCTCAACTATATTCATAGCAGCATTATTCATAGTAACAAGAACATGGAAACAAGCTAGATGCCCCTCAAGTTAAGAACAGATAAAGAAAATGTGGTTCATTTCTACAATGGAGTACTACTCAGTAGTAAAAATAATAACATCTTGAAATTTTCAGGCAAAACATCCTATTGAGTGAGGTAACCCAGACTCAGAAAGACAAATAAAATGCACTCACTCATAAGTTGTCGACTGAGGTTTCTTTTCTGCCCAGTCCTTCAGTCATTCAGTCCCAAAGAAACACACAGAAGTCTACATTAATCATAAACTGGTTGGTGGATTAGCTCAGGCTTCTTATTAACTATTTCTACATCTTAACCATAATTCTTGACTGCGTTAGCCATGTGGCTTGGTACCTATATCAGAGAGGCATGAAAATGCTTCCTCTGTATCTGGGTGACAGTTACAGACTAAACTTTCTACTTCCCAGCCAGCATTTTTCCTGTTTTTGTTGCCTTGCCTCTACTTCCTGCCTGATCGCCCTGTCTATACTTCTAGCCTGGCTACTGGCCAATCAGTGTTTTATTAAAATAATAGAAGTGACAGGATAAAAGACCATTGACCCACAAGAATGAGTGGCTTTTAAACATAAAGTAAAGAAAAAGCAGCCTACAAAACACAACTCCAGAGAACTTAGACAAAAAGGAGATCCTAAGAGAGACATACAAGAATCTAAATAGGAAAGAGAAAAATACAAGATATTCTGAGTAAATTGGGAATGTGAGGGTCATGGGAAATGGTAAAAGGGGTGAAGGGAGGAAGAGGGAACATAGAAAAATTTATAGCCCAATATAAAAAAGAAAAAAAGTTTTAGAAGCAGTAATGAAATTCTGCATCATTATTTGTTCTTTGAAATTCTTAGCATAAATTGTAATGTAATTTAATTTATCAAATTAAAGTAACTGGGGAAATGTTGATTTAGTACCTATTTAATTTCAAGCAAGGGATGTTGTATAACAATTAGCGACATAAGCTAGAAAATAGATATTTCTAAGCCCAAACAATTCATTGCCTAAACACTAGAATAATAATCCATTTTTTAAGGTATTTCCTTGGGAGGTATAGACTCTTCTTTAGGAAAAAACAACAAGAAGAGAGCTGGTTTTGCTGTTTTTTAATGATAATAACACACTTGAGTAGACTGATTCTAACCAGATAAAATTGTTGTAGCTCCCAAAGAAATCCCCCTACCAGAAGCCAAGGGTCTCCTTTGATCACCCTTAAACCCTCAGAGACAGCCATACTGAGTATTCATTAGGGATGGAGGGTTAATTGATGGAGACCATAGCTAATAAGATGTTTTGTCACACTTCTCATTCACTCCCTTCTCTGGATCTGTCTAAGACTTGTTGATATTTCATGCCCCTAATTGGATTACACCCATCATGAGAATATCTGTAGCAGTTCACCCATTCACCTTGATTTTCTTATCCACAGGTTTGAATATGAATGATACTTGGAATAAACAGGCTAAGATTTTGTGGACAGTTACAGAGTAACTATACTGCAATCCTGATTTGACTTGAAAAAAAAAATCAAGGCCAATACCATTTAACATGATGAGCAAATAACACCTTACAGAACTGAAATAATATACTCTTAAGCTTAGAAGATCTCAGGTTGAATTAATTAGTATCTTTTCTTCAAATGATTCTTCAGGATAAGATGTATTTTATTTTAAAAGTCAAGGGGAATTTAGAGCCAGCAAACTGACCATAATGCACACATATAAACACATAAACATATTTGTGCATGTACATACACACACACACACACACACACACACACACACACAGACGGGGGGCAGAGAGACACAGAAATAGACAGACATGGGTGGAGAAAGAATAATTTTTTTTTTAAAAGAAAGTCTTTACAAATTGTTATCTTGAATTATTTGAGTGCTTAAAAATTCAACAACCTAGATGGGGTGGTGATGGTTCATGCCTTTAATCTCAGCACTCAGGAGGCAGAGGCAGGTGGATCTCTGTGAGTTTGAGGCCAGCCTGGTCTACAAGAGCTAGTTCCAGGACAGGCTCAAAGACAGAGAAACCTGTCTTGAAAAACCAAAGATACAAACCAGAAGAAGGAGTAGGAGGAAGAGGTGGAGGAGGAGTTGAACAGCTTAGAATTTATTGCCTATGCTGTCATTATTTTAAAAGATTTACCTATTTCTAATTATATGGATTTGCATGTGTGAGAGGGGATGCTTAGATAAGAGTCAAATGATACCCTTAAAATTGACTACAGGTGTATTTGAGCCACTTGGCATGAATTCTGGCAACCAAACTCAGGTCCTCTACAAAGCAGTGTGTGTTCTTACATATGTGAGATATCTGTTCACACACAATGTTTGTATTTTTAAGTCACTACAAAGTAAGAGGTGGTTTTTCTATAATCCTATCATAAACATGGAAAATTGTGCTTCGTTATGTCATGTTTACTTTACAAGTGGAATTATTCTGTCTCTTTCTTTAAAAGAGGAAAAATCTCAGAAACATTACTGCTGAATTTCATCACACTCTCATTTTTTCTTCTTCATGGATTTCAGATTTTTATATAGCTTCCCAGACCACAGAACCTCAAAGCAATCAGTGATACTATGGTCATAGCTAAAGATGCCATTCTTCTCTCTTGTTAGGGTCTCATTAACGTAAGCCTCAACAATTCTACAGGCTTCCATGTGAGTGAATTAGGTATGAAGCAGGTGAATTCAGTGAAGGAGGAAATGGATTTTTGTGAAATTCTAATAGAAACATGTATATTTGTCACTGATAATTTTGTAAAAGTCAAATTAAACACCATTTTTGTAAAGCTTTTTATACACAGGGCTTGACATTAAAAACATCCAGTGAATATTTTTATTAAAATAAAATAATATAAAATAATTGATGTTATTTAGGATTCAAGAAATAGTTATCATGTACATAGAGATAAATCATCAAAAGTAAGCAATTGTACTTCAGCATGGGTAATGAGAAATCTTTGTGGCTCCATTAAAAGAAAATAACCACTGAAATTTTAGGGTTTACAAAACAGCAGAACTACTAGGTTCTAACTTCAACCTAAGATAAAAAAAAATTTTAAACCTCTGACTAGGGCTAGAGAGATGGCTCAGTCATTAAGAGCACTGACTCTTTCAGAGGACCTGAGTTTAATTCCCAGCACCCACATGACAGCTCACAACTATCTGAAACTCCAGTTCCAGGGGATCTGACACCTTCACACAAGCATACATGCAGACAAAACACCAATGTACAAATAATACAAATAAATAAATTACTTTAAAAAATTCTCCGACTTAAGAAATTTTCTTCCTGTGTTATATGTCTAGTATGTTTATGAATTAACTTTTCCCGCTGAAATATTACATAGGTTTCCATACCATGTTTTAACTTGTGAGCCTACTCTCCAACTAGATAATCTCATCATTAATGATTGAAAATACTGAGGTGCAAAACCTTGCCAGTGAATAATATTTGGAAAAACTACTACCCATGGAATTTAGAATGTAACAGGCATTTATCTTCATCTAGTTGACCCTATATCTATTTATTGTGTGGCAACAGAGAAGAAATTTTGTCTTGCTTAGCAGACATAGTCTATAAGAATGAAAAGCTAAAAATATTGCAAATGTCAAAATAAATAACATGCTTTGCATGTCTCCATTTACTGGGTCTGTCATAAAAAAAGCAATTAGTGACACAGGAACTTTATCACAAAACCAGGAAACAGCTTATAAAGTGGAAGATGTTAATTTGCCCTTACTATGTTCCAGAAATGGTGAAATAGCCAAATTTTAACTTTGAGATAACTAGAGGTGTTATAAACCTGAATGTTTCAGAAGCATTTGGTCCGGTGTCATTCATGACTCTCCACACAATAGCCTTGCTTGTTTGCTCTTTGTTGGGTGCCATAAATTTGTGATCAAGTCCAAGACATCAAAGCTACATATACATTATCACAAGGTGATGACAAATATTTAAATGCATGAAGATAAAATCTAAACACTAGGAACAAGATAAAGTCACTTTTTGCAAAAAAACAAGTGTTTAGCTACCTTAATACAGCCTCAAAGGGCATTTCTGCAAACAAAGATCTATTCACTCACTGCAACTAAGGATATGATAATTATGAACATGTCTGTCCAGGACAAATCAGCATTCCTGACAGCATCATCTCTTTGAACTACCTCACCGGCCATACGGGTCTTTTCATGAGTCATTACAATATTAGCTAATAGATACAAAGACACAGAGTTAATCTAACAGGTAAAAGCACTTTTGCCATTTCTTAAATGAGATAAAGTTAAGGGAAACAAAGCTTGGAAGAAACAAATCCAATTAAGAGCCTAATTAAAACAAAACTTTACTTGCAAATGAGAAAAGTAGTTATCTGTGTCAGCAAGATTTCTTTAAGACAAAAACTGATGAACTTACCAAATATGGCAGTGTGTTGTGTTTAGTCACAGCAGGAGAGCAAAGAGGAAGCTCTCAGAACTCTTTCTGGGTACATTTCCTGAAAAATGAAAATTAAAATAACTAAATATGAAAATAGCTAACAGGAACAGAAAAAGCATTGCAAGTAAAAGCATGATTTATACAGCGGAAGACCACATTTTACAATTTCAATTTTAAATATACATAGAGTTCATTCTTGCATATGATCACTGATACTTAGAAACTAGCAGTTGATCTACCTGTTCATAAATCACCTGTCTTCCATACCCATGTATGTACACATGTATTATAGATTCATAACTGAAAATTTCTCCTGGTCATTATTGAAGTTCCCATTATCCATCCACTCATTTAGATTAGTATAAGTGTATTGGTGAGTTGTTATTTGAGTGAACGATACTTTACATATATTTCACCCATGACATAATTATTAGCTATTAATAATCAAAAGGTAAATATTAATATCCTCCTAAATTAAATTCATAAATATTCACTACTTATATCACAGGGGCTAATCAGTTTCAGTGTAAAAATTTGATTCGTACCAAAATTAAATGTTAATGAACAATTCCTGTTCTGTTATTTCATACGAAGGATTTTATATTTCATCTACATTTTTAGACTGATTAAAAAATCAATGAATAGTTGAGACTACAGAAGAAGTAATTGCAAGCAGTGATAAACAAGGAAGAGAGGAACAGTACCAATGATCACAGTGCCAGCTGTTCTAAATTGGAGCCTAACTTGGTGCCAGGTATGGTGGGAAATACCTGTGACTGACACAGTTGGGACGCTGAAAAGAGGTTCACTATGACTTCCAGGCTAGCCTGGGCTACAGAGTTAGATACTGCCTCAAAAATAAACAAACAGAAAAAGAAGGAAAGAAAATAAACTTTGAAAGAGAAAATGATTATATATGTTTAGGAACTAATTAAGTCAGGCAACAGTGACCCAGGTCTTTAACCCCAGCACTCAGCAGGCAGAGGCAAGTGGTTCTCTGTGAGTTCAAAGTCAGTCTGATCTACACAGCAAGTTCCAGGACAGCCAGTGTGGTTACAAACAGAAACCCTGCCTCAAAAAGCCTAAATAAATAAACAAGCTAATACATACATACATATATGATAGATAGATAGATAGATAGATGATAGATAGAGAGATAGATAGACAGACAGACAGACAGATAGATGATAGATAGATGATAGATAGATAGATAGATAGGTAGATGATAGATAGATAGATAGATAGATAGATAGATAGATAGATAGATAGATAGATGGATATGAAAAATAAAAGACCCAACTAAAAGAAGAAGTGGCAAGCTATTGAGCATCTGTGTTTGGCGAAGTAGACATGGTGAGATGATTGGGGATATCTATGAGGGTGATAATAGAAATTTTCTACATTTGACAGAGGTCAAGTCAAAATTGAAAATGTTAAAAATGATTACTCAAAGTACAAACAGGTAATATTACACAGAATTTAGAAATTTTATCCAAAATAAATCTATTACAGAAATGACAACTACATCATTTGAAAGAAAAAATGTTGAATGTATTAACTATTTTATATTTAATTTATGAGCTTAGTTTGCTATAGCTATTTATAAGCAATGCAAAGTTGATTATTAAATTTTCAATATTTTAATAACTAATGAAAACAATTTTGACAGCTTTCTACATACATATACTGAACTCTGACTGAAGATATCTAACCTTCTAGTTCTCTCTGGCTTCCACTCACGCTCACTTCCCTGCCTCTCACAAGGATCTTTCTACATAATGAACTCTGACTGAAGTAAGACCTCCCAGTTCTCTCTGGCTCCCGCTCTTGTTCACTTCCTTTCTTCTCCCAAGGCTCTTTCCCACATTCATGTCCTTTGGCTGCATTTTGAGACCCACTGACTTTAACTACAGTCATCTGTGTGAACATGGTTTTCATCTGAACACTTTAGAGACTAATTTTCCAGGAGATAAATTAAGACATAATTGTTTTAGATTGTTAAATTTTATATTCAGGAGAAAAATTGAGAGCATAGGATATTTGAAAACTTCCACAAGCGGGAATAGAAGCGGAATAGTTTCCATAGAAGGCAGCAAAAATAAGAGGTTCCAAGTTAAATTTTGCTCTTTGATATCTAACCATGAATATCTTGTTTATTTTTTAGATTGAAATTTAAATATAACATTTCTACCTTCCCTTTTCTCCCTATAAACTCTCTCATACACACCTCTGCTTCTCCTTCCAATTCATGGCCTCTTGTTTTCATTAATTGCTATTTTATTCATGTATATATTTGTACATACATGAATATCAGTAAATATAACCTGTTGATTCCAGACAATATTACTCGTATGATGAATATGTTTATATACAAAATCAGTGTTTAATCATTGATGAAAATGATCAAAGTTTGAAAATCTAAAGAGCTTTGACCTCTTAAATGTTAGATTATGTTGATTATTTGTTAAACATAAACATAGAAGCTTGTAATTAAGGGAAAATTAAATGGATGTCTTCATATTAAATTTCAAATGAGAGTGCAATGATTTTAGGATATTTACTGATATTAATATCATAAACATATAAGCCCTAGAAGACTGTTAAAATGGTATACTTTCCAAACTATCAATTTTAATTTTATTTTCTGATTTCATATGTTGTATGTATTTATAAACGTACATTATATATATATGTGTGTGTGCATATGTAGACACATATATACATTTAGACTATATACATGTGTGCATATATATGCTATGTGTTTGTATATGTGCTATATGTGTGTACACACACATAGATATATATGTATATGCTATATTTTTACTACTTGCACTAATAATGCTTTCCAAAGAGTCAAAGCTTATATAAAAATACTCAGTGGTCAGCATGGGAATTTTTCTGGCAGCTGTTGATCAGAGGAGATACCAGGTGCAATGCAAGACATTGTTGTTACCCTTGGTTCCCTCCTAGAACATTAAGACCCTGTTGCTGAAGATACCACAAACTTGGACACAGGACTGGGAGGAATTGAGTTGAAACCAATCTAGATGATTCTCCCCTGAGGACTAGCTCTTATAGTATCAGAAGTTGCTATTCAAGTTGCCATGAAGAAAATCAATAAATAGTCCTACCCATATGTAAAACCTATGAACCACAACAATTACCAGTCTGGCAAGATGTCCCCAGTTGTTGTAGATGCAGGAGAAGAACCTTCTACTGCCATTTTTCTGAACCAATATAAATGCCTAGCTGCTTCTAAATACTTATTTTGTGCTCATGGGTAAGAATAATTTTCATCTCTCATCAAAGAAGCTTCATTTTGCAGTGAATAGATTTCATTACAGAAACTCAAACTGCTTAAAATACAGAAAAAAAATGTGAGTTCTTAACCCCAATTAACACATCTACAATAAAACTCCTATACCAAAGGCCATGTACGAGGGCCAAAAATACTACAAGAGCCAGAGGTCAGGACATTTGGTCCAAGACGATGTTTTCCATATGTAACAAGAAAGCTGCACCCATGAAATTACTCTATGGTAACCTAAACAAGACCTAAACAATGACACTAGCCAATATGCCAACGTGGGTGGCAGAAAGCTCACAAGACCCCACTGAAGAACTATAGGAAATAATGGCTGCTGAGAGGGGCAAAATCAATCACCAGGGATGAGTTCCTGATGTTATTCAGTCTAACTGATAAGCTCTAAGACATCCATGTATGAGTAACACTAAAGAAACTCATCAGACTGTGTTCTTATATCTACATGTGCATATGTAGATACACGACAATAACAAGTTTAAAGAGAAGAGTTCATAAATTGGGAAGGTAGCTGTGGCAAGGTAAGAATTGGAAGCAGAGGGATAAGGTATTCAAGCTGAGATTCTCAAGTAATTTTTTTAAATGATGAAGAATTATGCATTTGGGAAATCTGCAAAGGGGCAATATTTGCATATCCATGTTTTACTGAGAATTTACAAAATCATTTATGTATTTCCCCAGTAACTCAACAATTCCTCTCAACACTGAGTATCCTATTCTGCCAACACGAAAAACTCAGAGACTTCTCTAGTCTTTTTCCACTCTAGTCTTCCTACTTTACTGGCCTCCAAAACTTAGATTACCTGACACATGAAGCCATCCTGACATGACAACCTCACTCACATTCCAAGAGGGGATACTGGGACAGTCCTCTACGCCACCAGCTTTTTCTTTACCCTGCTGAAGTTGCAGCACTGCCCAATGCTCCCATAAACAAATGGCTCCCTTGCCTGGTGCCACCATTAGAACTTGAACGGTACTTTGTTTAAAGTTGAGAAAAATGTGGTCAAAGGAGCAAGAACATAGACTTGATTTGTTCAGTAACTTCCTGGAGAAATAGTACTTAGAAAATGAAAGAATTATTTTAAGTATCCCAGTCTCTAGAATGATAGATTTTAGGTGCTTATTTTCTCTTTAGTTTATAGGATATTTGTTAAGATGAGAGGAAAAAGCTTTTGTCACCTTAGTGTATTTGGAAATAAAATCCTATAAATGGATAACCTGAATTATTTTAAAACCTGATGTTCAAAGTTTACAGTGTTTTGATAGCAGTATTTCAGAAATCTAACAATAATTCTAAAGAATTTCTGAAGATGTTTGGATTAATATATTATCAAATTAGTATGAGTTTGTAAGTAAAGAAATATAGGAAACAATTGTAGACATATACTAATGTATATAGTATGATTCAGTAAAGCAAGGAAATTGGGAATTAATAAATGAATCAATCAAAAGGAAGAAATAGTCTTCCTGATGTTTTAAAAATGTAGACATGAATAGTTATAACACCTAACATTAAATTTCCTTTAATTCATTGATTATATACTGTTACGTTGCACATCAGGTCAACAGGAAGAACTGATTACAGGTTAGTTTTTCCACGTAGCGCCATATGAGTGAGTGGTAAATGGCATTTACTGATTTTTCTTCTAAAGAAAATTCTACTTAGTTAATATTTCTAAAACAATTAAATTTAGTCTTAGAAAGTTAGCCTGATATTACTTGAAACATGAGAA